GCACACTTAGCAATTCAAATTAGGAAATAATTTTTAAGCTTTTATTTTCATTCTGCTGTGCTCATTCCACACTTAGCTATTGAACAAATATATTAATTAATTCTATGTGGTGGAAGAAAGAGAAAAACTATCTTTGAAAGCTGAAAGAATAACCTCTGTTATCAGAACACTTTGAAGCCTAATATGTTTGGAATCTCGGAATGACTGCCTGACATTTCATTTTGCAAGAAGTCTAAACAACCACAATAAATTTACAAATGTGGACATGCCACAGTTAAATTTCATTTCACGCTCAGTAAGCAAACATTATCAAACCCTAAGCACAGTCCTCCACTGTCTTTTTAACTCAAAATCTTGTCATCAATGGAGGGTCAACCTTGAAATATTTCACAGATGGATGAGTTGGCTTACTTTACTACTCAATTTGTAGACCAACACACACACACACACACACACACACACACACACACACGTATATAAACTTTGTCGGCAGGTGTCTCTATGCTTTATTTATTAAATCACACAAATAATTAGTGATTGGACAGACTCAAATTAGAAACCCAGTTAAGAGCTATTCAGGGAAAATGCTTCTAAAGCTAATGAATATTTTTTCCCCTTAGTTTTGGTGATTTGTTCTAATACTGAATGTGGGTTGAGGAGGTAGGGGGTGATTGCCAAAATTTGATGGGTGGAAGTTTGGGGTGCAGCAAGTCCTGAAATAAGAGAAAGTATGCTACAAACTGGAAAAAATTGTCTTGCATACTGTACAATCTCTACTACCCATATGAATAAATATTCCTGTAAATGAATGTATTTATAAGTATTTGAATCCACATAATACTTCTCTAGAGGCATAAGGTATTTTTCAGTTTTAATATATGGGGAACAAATTCTTTTTCTATTCTGGTGTTCACCTCTCTACTTTTTATTTTCTGTCCTTTGTATGAAATAGCTTCTAATCACCTCTTAAATTCAAAATTATCCGTTGGAAATGGTTGCCAAGATCTAACTGCATCTTCTGTTCTAGATGCACTTATTTAGATATGTATCATGTTATTGTTAAGATACTTTTGTGCTTACATTACATATGCATGAGCTACATGATCTATGGATTTTGTTTAGCAAAGAAGGGTATTACAGATTATTTGCTGCAACATAGTGGTGCTGCATCTGACAGGGAGAAGAAAACCATCATTGCCAAGGGCCAGCGTGCTTTTCCCTTCCCATTCTGCAGTCTTCACTGTGTCCTGGCATGTCCCCTGGGGCCACAGGAAGGCTGCCGCAGTTCTTGGTTTTACAGGCAGATACACAGGCATCTAAAAAGGTCTGATTATTTAGTGTCTTAAAGATTTCACAAGTAGATTTTATGATTCAGAAAATACTTGTAACCATTACTCAATGTGAATATGCACAGAAGGGCTCCCTTAATCAGTAATTTAGAAGAGGATGTGAATTAGAGATTTAATCTCAGTAGTTGGTCCATTCTTTTCCTAAAAGGGGATAGAGAATCTAATTCAGTTGAGTATGGAAGCAGATGTTGTATAGGCAACTGCCTATTTCCCAGAAGGAAAATAATTAGGCTTCCTGTGTGTGTGTGTGTGTGTGTGTGTGTGTGTGTGTGTGTGTATGTGTGTCTACTAATATATATATTTGTCACACTACTAATATATATATTTTTTTTTCAATTTTTGGTTGAAGTACATTTTGTTGAATATTTTGACTTGCTTTATTTTCTTATGTGAAAATATTTTTCTAAGAAATATTGTAGTTCAGTGAACATTGAGCTCCATTTCAAGGAATCTGTTAGAATAACTAGCTTTCTTTGCATGACAATATAGGGGCATTAGCATTTCTAATTAGTGTTTGGGGCTGGCTGGTTAGAATAGCACTTCAACCATGGTCCACAAGCATAAATGTTAGCAGGGGCCAGGAGGTCACTTAATGAGAGAACTGGGCTCAGAGGAGGCTACTATGGTTCTGTGGAAAGCAGGTGTTTTTTGATGGGTGGCATCCACCACTCAGCTCTGATCTACATTTGCCTTGTGGAAATGGGCCCAGGGCTTGATATTTTAAGAAGAAAAAGAAAATGTCTGATTTATTTGTGAAATCTTCTGATTTTTAGATGTTAGCTCAGTTTTAAAAACACAAATACCAAAAGAGCTCCAAACACTGTGTGAGCCAAACAATACATATTTGAGGGAGATATTTGTTTTGTGAAGTGCCATTTGCAACCCCTAAATTATCCATCTGTTTAGGCCATAGAGTGCAATAATTAATTAAAAAATAAAAAAAATAAAAACAAAAACACCAGTTACCAGTGCTTATGCTTTAGGGGGCAGGGGTGATTCTGCAGAAAGAAAGTATACCTTATGGAAAGGACTTGAACTGTGCTCTGCTAATTTGACTTTATTGTGAGATATTAACCAACCGTCGCAGAACAGCAAGGCCATACAGAATTTAGGTTGGTCTTCCATTGCTAAATGTGAAATATTTAGAATAGAAGGTGGGAAAAATTCACAGATATGTACCCAAGAAGACTGATTAAAAGGATTTTGTCCATTTCCACCATCCTTCAGCCAAAGGATGCTTTTTAGATTGTGACATATATACACATGCTCCCGTCTCCCTACCCCATCTTGTTCCCTACCACATTCTGCCATTGTTTATGACCTAGGGAGGCCTCCTGTAAACAACAGCTACCCTATTCCAGCTTCCCAAGCATATGATTGCTTTAATAAAGTGTTTAAACTCTCCACTGTACCCCTCCCCGTATAAAGCTAACCTCTACACTCCTTGTCAGCACCATAACCACATTTGTTTAAAAATGGTATCATTTCAAGTATATATTGAAATATTAACCTCTCATATAAAACTCTTCAAAAATAAGCAAACAATAGGCTCAGAAGCACAATTTCTGTTTATTTCTGAAAATAAACCCATAGGCATATAGATAATTTGACTATCTGCATTGGTTCTTGTGCAAAAATGGTTGCTTACCATTATTTAAGAAATCTGTAAACTCTTGTGGAAAGTTTTAAATTCTTCTATGTAAAACTTATCTTTTCTCTGTTGAAGAGTAGTGCATTATATGTTTTTCCTCATCCATAGAGATATAATGATGCTTACCTCATCGTACATGCTGATGGATTAAGTTAAAAGATTTTATGTTATTATTATCATCATTTATTTAGTGATTTATTCAAGATCCAGACTCCAGATCTTCACATTTTTCTTTCATTAGTTTTTAATTGTCCTAGTTTATTTTATTTGAGAGAGTCAGAATAATAAAGGAAGGATTCGGAACCTAAGGACAAGTGATTTTTTTTTGTCCATAAAACATTTTATAGCATCTTTTTGTCAGTATCATGAAGTTTGTGTTTCTCTTCACAAATCCCCTTCTAAGGCATAAAAAAAAAAATCAGAAATCTCTAGGGATAGCAGAAAATCATGGAACTATTGAAAATAAGTTTACACATTCCAAAGCTGAAATGTTCTTGGCTAATGAATGTTTGCTTCTCTAAATAATGTCTCCCTGCTTTGTCATTAGCAGTCTATATCCAAAAACAGAGAATAGTCTAAATCTAGAAGAGAGACAAATTGCTTGTTAATGTAACAACAGGTTGCCACATGTAATCAGTTACCTTTGGGATGGTCCTAAAATCTTGATATTACATGGATATTGAATGACTTGTATATAATAAGACTTGTATATCATTAAGCATTTTTTAAAATTACATTTTGGAGAACATGGTCCTGCAGAATATCATTAGTTTACTTGGTAATATGCTGTCATGTTTGATTAATTATACTGTAAACAAATCAATTCTTTCCTGGTGTGAAAAAATTCCACTGAAAAAACCTGAAGAAGAAAGAAGCTACAGAGAAAAAAGATTATCCATGATTAACACTGACCTGTCTAGACTTTAGAGTACTTCCCTCATCTAGTCTGAAGTGTTTCTGATTGTCCTACTTAATTTAGGGGGGAAAAATGTGACTTTCAAAGATAAAAGGATGAATAGGGTGTGAGCATATTTTGCAACTTTTCTCCCTTTGCCATCTTCACCAGGAAGAATTATGTTTTATAGGCTCTTTAACCCATTTGTTTTCACATTTTTTTAAAGTGTAATAACTCAGCTAGATTTATACTGGAGTTCAGTGCTAGCAGAGTTGGATTATTTGTATTTCCTTTCCCTGAAACCATGCAGTTTCCTTTATTTGCTGATTATGGTATTCTGTTACTAAGCCTATGAGAAGCTTCTCTGTGAAGTGCATTTTAATATTTAGATCAAACAGCGATTGGAATACATTAATGCCCAGTGGGTAAACGTGTCATTTGAAAGCAGCTGCTGAGCCTTCTCCCTGCTGCTCCAATTAACACATACAGCACACTCTTGTCAGCAAGAGGGCTGTGCATATGGATGAAACCACTTTGCTGCTCATTAATGGGATATGTGAGAGACCCCAAAGTTATTCAGTCCGCCCATTGCAAAACAATAGCTTTCAAAGAAGTTTCCCAAGCATGTGCTTGTGCTTTGAGAGAAGGGGTGCTAAAATCAGGTGGTGGGATTAGCAGGTAGGAAAAAGTCAGTTTATCTCTCCCTTTGGTTCCGTCCATTGACTATGTTTCCCCGCCCCTCTTCTCCTACACACCCCCGCCCCTGGTGGTGGAGAGGTTGGATAGTGACATTCTAGTGCTGGGACTCCTCTTGTCTCAGCCAAATCTCCTGAACTTTTGTTTTGAAACTATTTGAAGTCTAAAGCTTTGCCGTTTTGTTTTGTTTTTTTTTCCTCCTAGTCTTTCATTGTCATTTCACTTTCTCTCCCTCTCCTCTTTTTCAAATTGCAGATCTGACAGTTTATTGAACTAAATGAGAAATCTTGTCAAGGTAAACTCCATAGCACTCTTATTTTTAATCTCTTCCATGGCTAAAATCTCTGCTGTGGTGATAGCATAGAGGCAGATACAAGGCAGTGCGTCCAGTCCCCAGGCTTGGTGTGTTGGTCATTCATGCTCCACCGGCTTCCCAAGCAGCTGGGTTGTCTCTGCACTCTGGTGCTGGCTGAGCAGGGCTGCACAGTGAGCAAGAGATGGACCGCTTTCTGGGTTTTGTCAAGCAGATCCGAAGATCTAGGAGAAGAAAGGGCAAAAAGTACCGACCAGAAGAGGATTACCACGAGGGCTATGAGGATGTCTATTATTATGCTTCGGAGCATTTTAGAAGTAAGCACTTCCCTCCACCCTCCTCTCCTGTTCCTTCTTGCTTGCTGGGACTAACAATAAACCTTGTGTGCAGCTTTAATCTTAAATGAAAAAGGTTCCCCAGATGGTGTTCTCTGAGAGCAGTCTGTAAGTACTGAAGTGCTACATTTTACTTGATTTGTTGCAAGAATAGTTATCAGATAGGATCTAGACAGTATAACCAGCCGTAGGTCTAGACACATGGTTAATATTTTAGATGCAATTAATTGATTGTTATTTTAATAAGCCATTCAAAAAAGTATCTTGCAAGCTAATCTCTTAATTGGTCAAAATATGTTCTGCTGTACTTGTTGTTTTTCAATAATGCTGTATGTTTGTTGTTGTTGTTTTTACCTTTTAAAATTGGGAAAGCTCCTCATGGGAGAAAGAATTGTTCATATTCAAGTTGGTGCCGATGATGAACACTTCCAATTAAGACTTCTAGACAGTTTTGTGTAATCTGAAATGCTGTTTGTACAAGGGAGTTCAAATGCTTTTCTGTGATGTTTGCTCATAATTTTGTTAAATTAAGGGAATTCTTATGTGCTGTCAGCTACAAGCAGCAATAACCATAAAATAACACATTCATGTTGAGACATTCGTAAATTAGCTAATAAATAGCAGAGAACTAGGATTTTTCTTGTACCTGTCAGTGCTCTAAGTTCCTGGTGAGCTGTGGATGGGTCCCCGATAGATTTAAAATGCCCAGGAATGCCTCAGGCTGCAAAGAAAAAGCAGAGATCACTGAGTTTATATGCCCAAATGAGAAAGAGGTAGATGACAGCTATATATAATCTACATTTTAAAAATTAGAACTTATTTCTGACCTTGTTGAATAGGAATCTTTGTAAAATTTGCATTCCAGTCCTACTTTTTTCTGGCCTTTGGATCTCTAACATGAATGTATCCCATTCACAACCCCTGAGCATTGACTAATAAATAATTTAGATCCTAATTTCTATGGCATTGAAAGCCATGTGAATTAATTCTATATGCCAGAAATTCTGCTGGGATTGATAAAGGCCGAGGGTTGAAAACTCACATGTTGGCGATAGCAATGCAAAATTGTCATTATTTGACATTTTCTTAAAAAATACGGCTATGATTTGGTAATCAGAGTTTTAAAGATATTTCTCTCATAAAGCGTGTATGTGAATAATCTGTTCTAATGTAGTGAGTCTATTTTTTCTAAATTTAGTTTTCCTAATGTATTCTAGAATTTAAGATTTGTGTCACATCAAAAAATACTGTCAGCTTGCATGAGTAATTTTGAAAATTCAGAATTGAAAAAAAAGAAGCTTAAGTACTTTTAATTATATTGGCATTCATTGTACAAATTTCTTGCAATCAATATATACTAAGTCAGATTCATGCCTCAGATTTGTAAAATGACATATGTTTGTACAAGTAGATTCAAACAAAATCCCTTAGATACCTGCAGATAGTTTGTGAAGGATTATAAAAAACAACAGAAAAACTCTAAGTTTACAACATATACCTACAAGGAAAAATATTATGGAGGTATCCAAGAAATGTCTTTAAAACAGTTAAGAGAATGATATCATAGTCATAGTCTTTATACTTCAAGTGCAGTAATCATATCTTACCTGGTTTGTCAAGGTCAGGCTAAGGATAAGATGTTAACCATCAAGTCATTTGCTTTGGATATGAAACTGATGTCTTACCTGTGATTTATCAGAAAGCACCCATTAGACAGTCTATAACTTTGTGGAGTTAGATACATATTGAGTGTCCAACTCCAATCTGCTACATAGTAAGCAGAACGTGTCACAGTAGACTTGTGCACTAGGGATTTGGCATTTCGTCAGATGTCAAACAGCCAGAGCTTTTAAAGATGTGTCATATGGCGTGATGGCCTCTCAGTGCATCTTTTGGCTTCAGTTTCAGAGCCTCTCTGAATTGTGTATGGGAGACATCCACTTACGTTTAACAGCTGTAGAAATGTATTAAAGGGCGAGACTAATGCTTACAGCCAGCCCTCTCAAATGGGCACTGTGGTTGAATTCAATGATATCTACTGTGTATCTGTTTTAATTAGTCTTTGGCATAATTTGAAAGTTTATGCTCTGTGTGCTTTTTCTTTCATGACTTAAAAAAACTGTTCACATCAAAGCACAGAATGTGGTGGACTTTCCTGATGACATTCACATCTTTATTATCAGCGCCATTGATAAACTAGAAGTGGCATTCTTATTTTCTCCCTGTACTGTTTGTTTCTTGAAACTTAGCTCTCTGTCTTGTCAATCTTTCTATTGGTTCAGATTACCAGAGAAACTTTGTATATACAATGAAAGACTGAGCTAGAAAGAACTCCCCAGAAAATTCCCCAATAAGTCTGCCCCCTCTTTTGTACAGTTTCAAGTGGTTACTGATATTCAACTTTATCCTAAATAATGTCTCTTCTATAGTGTGTTTTGATTTAGAATTGATGTATTCAAATGTACACGAAGATGAATATATTTGATTCTTTAAAAGAACTGCTCTTGTCACTCATCTGTCCTTTCATAATTCAGGAGTTTAAATAAGCTAGACAGGTGCCTTGGGCAAATCATCAAACATTTCTGGGATTTAGTTTCCTAAAATGTGACACAAGATGGTTTTACTTCTAAAGATTTTTCTAGGTGTAGAACTATATAATTTTAAATTTTACATGATTTCTAACACAATGCAGTTAAAGTTTTATCATTCTTTCTTTCTTTTTCTTTTCTTTCTATCTTTTTTTTTTTTTTTTTTTTTTTGAGATAGGGTCTGGTTTTGTTGTCCAGGTTGGCCTTGAACTCTCCATACACCTTTCTCAACCTCCAGAGAGCTGGGACTTGAGGCACATGCTGCTGTGCCCAGTTTGGCATAAAGGTATCAACTAAGGGATTTTAACTGGGATTTTTTTTTTTTTAATTTACCTGAATATCTTCAGGAAATTGACTTTCTGGCAGGAATTGTTAGTGTGGAGATTCTTGTCACTTTAAGATTATAATCTATCATTGGGTATGAAGAAGCTTTGAAGAATTTTCATAAAACTACAGAATTCTAAATATATTGGTAAATCATAGACCACATCTTGTACTTGATTGTATCGACCAAGGAGAACCATTTATTCTTTGAGGATCTCACATAGATGATTCATTTGGCATTATTCCTTAAGAGAAATTTGCATTGATTACAGAACTGCCATGATCCTGAATTTGACAAAAAAGCTAAAAAAGAACCCTAAAATTCAATTATATTATGTTTGGTGATTTTATTTGTTTTCCACTAAGTACTAAGTTATAGCAATGTTTCTTTAAAGGATCTTTCAGATCAGATTTTATTTAATCTCCCATATAAGAAAATAAAATTACTATATTGTTTATATATTTTTATTTAGCCACATTGAATAATATTCAAGTTATAAAACAGATAATGTACTTAGGACTGTTCTTATCCCTGATAAAAATTCTAACCTGACACTGACTACTTGAAAAGGAGAAATTTATTTATCTCTTTCATAAGACCCTAGCACCTTTTTGCATGTGTGCAATGGTATTGGATTAAGCATGGACTTCCTGCCTGGTAACTGCTCTTCCAGGTTTCATCCTGACTCATCTTTGCAGGAGAAAAGCTATGCAGAAAAGTTGCTGAAGATAGCTGTTAGTGACCCTTTGACTTCCTTCTGAGGTCCCTACAGGGAAACTAGAGAGAGGGAGGAACATGACGATGGTGTAGATCTTTTGGAGAAAGGTCATTTGTTTTTACAAATTATTTCATTTGTTGATTTGTTTTTGTTTGACTATTTCAGTAGTATTGACCAATAATTGTGATATGTGTGTGTATAAAAACATTCTTGGCTAAGTTATTTTATTAGGCAATGTATGCATTTAAAATCTTTATTTGGATAATTCAGGCTTTAAAGTACTTTACATGTTCAGATTATGTTATAAGAGGAATGATTCACTTTTTTTTCTTTAATTGGAAAATATTGTGCATTATTCTTCTTAGCAAAAAAAAATTAGCAGTGGGTGTTTGTAGTGTGAGGATTTTTTAGGCACTGGTGTGGGTGATTAAACAATTAATTTCTTCTTACTAGATCCTTTGACTAAATTTTAACATTAAAAGTTTTTCTTTAAAAATTCAAAGAATTTATATATCCTCTCTGCATCTAGTGAACGGCATTTCTCTCTTAATAGATGTACCAATAGGATTGAGTGAGAATTTTGACATACTTTGGAAAGATGGTTGATCCTTGCTATAATATGTGCAAGAGCTGACATATAATCAGCCTTCCTCAGGCTTTGGGGTATAAAGGGAGAGAGGAGAGGGGAGGGGGAAGAAGAGAAGCAAGCACATTTCATAGGCTATCCTTACTTCTCCAGTGCTTAGCAGCATAGCAGCCATTCATTTCTGTGTTGAAAACAGTGATCATTGAACTGACAGGTCTTGGATGTGAGATCCTGGGTGATTCAAGCCTCAGCTGTTTGACTCAAGAAAACACACAAGAATTAGAAGCAGCATCAATTTAAGGAAACAGCAAAAATTTCTTATTTTATGACTATTATGTTTATTTTTCTTTCCTAAGAATTGCTTTCCATCTACAGTACATTTTTGTTGAGCCTGGCTAGCTAGTATGTTGGGTACTTTGTATCATCAACTCTGTTATCCCAAACTTAATTTTTATTCTATGTGGAATAATTTAAAGGAATAGTAAAGTTGAAAAGGACCTTAGAATTTACTTTGTTCCACCTGAGTATTTCTTAGTATTTTTTTTTTTTTGCTGTTGTTGTTGTTGTTTAATCTAAGATATTCAACAATTCAAATGACATGTGCAAGTCCCACTGATTACTAAAAGCCAGATTCCTTTATTGGGTCTGGTCCAGGCTCTAGTCATTATCTCACATGCTTGTTTAGCTCTCTTAAGATCTGATCCTTCTGATGATACTTCAGGCCCAAGATACATCTTCATATTGAATTACAATGGTTGATTTCCTTGATAAGTGGTTTTACTGTTTTGAACATGTGATCATCTTATACTAAAGTCTTGGGGGAAAAAAAAAAAAAAAACCTAACTCCTTACTCTATCTTGTAAGTCAAACTATCGCAATGTCTCATTTATGGGTGATGTTAACAACAGTGATTGCTGATGACTCAAAGACCAGACAACAGTATTTTCTGCTTCTCTTATTTGCACTGTGGTTTAAAAATATGTCTACTTTTCTCAATAAATATCTCTTTAGGGGATTTAACATATCAATTCTATTTGAGACTATTAGAATTGGGACTCACTTTGGAGTTGAGTTAGCAAGATCTGCCATCCCGTGTGGGAAATCCTTCCCCAGTATCTCAGCTATGTGGTCATCCAGCATTTGTGAAAAACTTGAAGGGTAGACACATTAACTTCGAGGCAGAACAAGACACTGAATCTGTGCTTCTTTTAAGTAAGTTCTGAACTGTATGTTAAATTATATGTTAAGTTTCTGGCATACTCTAACAAATACACTGCATGTTCAAAATCTATATCTTGATCCAAATAAATATACACTATTTTGAATTGAAAATGCACTGAGACTTTATGTCTTCTCTCTACTCATATTATTTTCTCACGGATATAACATATGGCATGTGGAGGTGAGTAATTCCTTCAGTGCTATTTTTGTCTTAACTATACAAATCCAGAAGATCTCTGTATTGGGCCCACATCCATGTAGGCAATTTTTTTTCATTTCTTTTTTGTGTATTTCTAAAAGATCACCAAAACTTCCACTTATTTAATGAAAAATACATTTTAGTACTTTCTGTTTTCATGATGAAGTGAACATCCATTTGTCTTCCCTGAAACTCGGCCTTACTCCCCTCCACTCCCCGCCCTTGGAAGAGCTGTCTCCATATTGAAATATTCTGTTTCTACTCCAATTCTGTCATTATTGATTGATCAAAACCGTCATCATTATTGTATACCATTTCTTAGCCCAGGGCAATGGGTCTAGTAATGGACATATAAACCAAGCTGGGTCTGTCAGAAAGCTCCTAAGGAATCTGTAAATTCACTCTGATGCCCTCTGCCTGAGGAGAAACCACTCTGGAGGCGGGAGGGAGTCCAACTAGCCTGAAGAGGTGGAAGGGAAAAATCAGAAGGCTCTTGTGCATGTGTGGTCCCTTCTTTGGGGTCATGGGATTTCCAGAGCTGCCCAAATTAAAGATTCTATAGTAAAAAAAAGGAGCAGAACGAGGATGGAACCTCAGATCATCTAAGCTGGTAGTGTTTGTAATCTTTTAATTAGAGAAATATGACTATTTGGTTATTTTCATTGGATAGAAATAAGTGTCAAAGATGAAACATAGATTTTATTCCATTAGAATTTCTACCCTCTAACAATTGATTCTCTTACTGGAACTAGGAAACTACGTGACCTTGGATGTATCACCTGAGTCTCTATACTTTTGTGTCTGAGTGTAAAATGGGAGTGCTATTTAGCAGTGTAAGACACTAAAGACCCAAGGAAGAGGAAACACCCAATGACACAGGCAGTAGCCTGCATCTCCCTGTGAAGCACATGGCCCACACAGCTGGAGGAAGGAGGTAGCAAGTGGGCACACTTGGGCAAAAGATGTTGCCCTTAGCATTACCTACTTGCATTTAACATTTCCTGTCCCCAGTTTCTGTTCAGAGTTGAATATTGTTGTAGAGGGGACCACACAATTTCCCCATGCACCTCTCACCAGATAATTTAGCCAAATGCCAGAGGCAAACATTCCCAGTGGTATTTTTAAATATAGAAAGCAATTGATTATCTGCCTT